ACACACACACACACACACACACACACACACACACACTCACCAGCAACACAGATCACAATCATCCTTACTGTATTTATTCATTAATATTGTTAAAATTAGTTTTGTAGAAGTTGAATTTCTTTCCAAAACTACTTTCTACTTTACTACTTTCATTTGAAATCAATGAATTGGACAATGTTGACTGAACAGTCTCAATTATTTGGGACAGCATTTCACTTGTTTTTCTCGCTTTTCTTCTTTTTTTCTCAGAATTCTGCACCTTGCTGAAATAAAAATGTGGTGAATGTCTTCACTGAACTTCATTTCATGATTCTCTCTTATTTATTTGCATGCATTAGCCTATCTGTGATTGCTTTTTATGTGAGTTGCTTATTAAAATATGTTTAGCAAGTCTTTGTAGTAAATGTGCAAATTGGGAACACATCAATATTTGCTTCTGTAACTAGTGATGATAGAATATATGAAACTGCTCAATAAAATTAAGTCTCCAAATACAGGAATTCTTTTATCCAGCTTTGCCTCATGTGATCTTTTATACTTTTCAAGTGTATGAAATACAGGACATGACAACAATAAAATAATAAAAAATACACTTTTAAAAATAAAATACACTCTTAAAAATAAAACACAATACACTCTTAAAAAAATAAAATATACTCTTTCTGCCGTCCCGCCGCGACCTCCCCTGGGCGCTTCAGCGCTCTCTCTAAAAGAGTGTTTTTCCTCTCTAAAAGAGCAAATTCTAAAAGAGCTCCACGAGCAACGGGCATCTTTTTAAAGATGGCTTCCCGCTCGTGCGTTTCTGGATGTGGTCGTTTTCTGGCTTCATCTGACGCTATGCTTTCCCGGGCCGCCGAGAGTGTCGGGCTGCACTGGAGGCCTCCTCCTTCTCCTGAACGCTCGAGGCTGGAGGATTGGTTCCTGGGGGCGCAGGCCTCGCTTGAAGAACCTTTTAAGCACCTTTATTTTTAAGAGTGTAAAATAAAATAAAATAAAATAAAATAAAATAAATGTTTGACATAAAAACAGAATTTAAATTTTAGAAGTGAAAATCACATCCAAATACAGGAAAAAGAAAGCACTACAAACATTACAAAAATAAAAATAAATAAAATGATAATATTAAAATAACATTAATTTAAAAATAGGAGGATAAATAAGAAATGAAAATAATGGTTCCAATAATTTCAAAGATTAGAAAAAAATGAATTAACCAATGTGTTTTAAAGTTGTAAATAAAACAAAGATTATTACCATACATTTTTCAAGACATTGAAAATGCCATTTCTTTGTATTATACCAGCAATTTCTGAATACAAATGATTTCAAAGTAGATCCTATGCAATTCATTTAGTGTACAAGAAATATGAAGGGTGTTATGAAGCTTTTATCTTCAGATTGCACAATATGCTTCATGTAGGCCATATAAACTGAGTTATATGAACACTATCTCTAATCCAGCCTGTGACATGAACACAATACTCCTGCTAACGTTTCAGTATTGATCATAATAAGCCCCTCAATGTCGGTGCGAATTATTCTTATCACGCAATGACATGATTTACAGTCTCGAGACGGCGTTTATCGGAGAAGGGTCTGGCTGCAGCTAGCGCTTGCACTCTCAGACGTGCATTCTCAGGCTTGCAGTCTCAGACACTTGCACTTCCTTTAATCTCTTTATTTTTAAAATGTGTATAGGTAGTATTTATAAAGTTTTAGCTTTTAGTTTTGGATCTGTTTTTAGTTGTTTTAATACTACAATTGATTGCTTCTGTTGTCCTCATTTGTAAGTCGCTTTGGATAAAAGCCTCTAATAAATGACTAAATAAATAAATAAAATAAATAATCGTTTAATCACCACCACAGCGTCTTGTCTCCATTGGCAACATGCACGATTTGTGGCGATTGCAAGTGACGTCGCAGGTATCGGAGAGTGCAAGTGGCGATTGCAAGTGACATTGTAATTTAGTTTCTTTTGTCTTGTCTTCACCACCTGGCTACTGTTGTAAAATGTTGAGAGATTCAAACAAAAAGTAATCAATAAATAGAACAAAATAAAAAATAATAAAGACTGCAAGTGACGTCGCTAGCGGAAGCTCAAGTGTCTGAGAGTGCAAGTCTGAGAATGCACGTCTGCGAGTGCAAGCGCCAGCTGCAGCCAGACCCTTTTGGTTTATTGCGCCACAGCTCTCAGAGTTTCTAACCTGGGAGAGAAACCCGATCCGGCCCAATCAAACAAACACACGCTCGGTGATATCTGATGGGTTTTTGTCCACAAATGTCCAATTAAAGCTGGAATAAAAGTAAACATCTTGATCAAACTCGTGATAAGGTGGGAGCGGACGTCTGCTTATCCCGAGCCGGCTGAGGGAGGAGGGCCTCATGATCTATAGGGTCCCACACATGGTTCTGAACATCACTCGGGAGACTAAAAATAGCCCAACTTGACTACTGGACACATTTTTTCGACACTATTCCTAACGTAGACCCACATGCAGTATCTGTTACTGAGCATCGAATTCCTGTAAATGCTGAGGCTGAGGGTATATAAGCTGGGACCCCCAGAAGTGTTAGTCACACCTCGACTAACTCCTTTGGTTTTTCACTCGCCTTAGACAAGCGCAAGGTGAGTCCATGCAGCGGATGCAGCGGTCTACAGAGGCTCGTCGACTTGTTAACACTTTAGGATCCCGGACAGGGCCTGTGGAATATGTTGTGTTAATGGGGAGCATCAGGAGCATGTGGATGCAGAGGCTAAAGACGGGAGACCTTGGACACTGAATGGCTTGACGCCGAGGATAACTATATAGATGATAAAGCCTTGCGATCGGTAGTGCTTTAGTGTAAATGTTTCTCTTGGGTCTGTATAAGAGGAAAACTTGCTGATGGGTCCGAGACGCATGAGTCTAGCTGTTTGAATTTATGGGGGAATATGGGATTGTTTATTGATGTATTGCATTTTGTGCGTTGCTCTTATTCAGTATTTTGCTGTTTTGCAGCTTAATCAGAACCAGAACAATGGCCGTTGCTGCTATGCTCGCCGCAGCTGATGTGGATGCTGCTATTTCTGCCTGCCAGGGTAAGACATCGTGCGATAATCTCATATTACAGCTTATCACAACTGGGTATAATAACTGCCATGTAGAAGTCATTAGCAACTGCGTAACAGATCAGCAGTTCATGCACATTCAAATATAAAGACGTATTAATCAAATCACATTTCTGACTATGTTAATACATGTGAACTGATGAAGCACTGCAGAATGCACTGATGTTTGCTAATGATTTCAAAGAGGTTCATTTGAGCTATTACTAATAACTTACATTTAATCTAAAGATTTCATATACATGAATAAACATAGACCCAGACTAATAAAAAAAAAAAATGTTTAAGATGTATAATGAAATGTATAAATTTCTGAAAGATTTCTAACGTATAGCACTAAAGAAAGTGATTTTGCTATTATATTATATTATGATATTATGATATGATATTAATTATATATTACATTACATTACATTACATTATATTACATGATATGATATGATATGCTATATGACATGATGATATGATATTATATTATATTACATTATATTATGATATGATATTAATTATATTATATTACATTACGTTATATTACTTTACATTATATTATATTATATTACATTACATTATATTATATTACATGATATGATATATTATGATATGATATGATATATGATGATATTATATTATATTACATTATTATATTATATTATGATATTATATTATATTACATTACATTACATTATATTATAATCTAACATTTCAGGTATTTGTAAACATGATCTAAAGGTTTCTGCTTAAATTGTTAAAATTTATTTTGTATTTTTCTTTCAAAAACCACATAATAAAATGAAATTTTAATAAATATTATATATTTGAATAAATGAATTGGACAGTATTGACAGAAACATGTGGCCAGCATACAAGGGAACTCATTTATAATTTTATATATTATTATATTAATTATATTATATTATATTTGGGGTATTTTGAAACATAATCCAAAGACTTCTGCTTAAGTGCTTGACGTTTGTTTTGTAGAAATTGAGTTCCTTTAAAAAAGTAAACATTTTACTAAATATTTCAAATGTAATAAAACACTACATTTTTAATCAATGAAATGGACTAAATATTAAATTACACAGGAACTCCCTTAACGCTATTTATAAAATGGTAACATCTAAATTGACTGGTTTCATCCAAGTAAAAAAAAAATATTATTTAACGTTGCCAAATCAACCAAAAAACGTTCATTTCTACATTCGTTGATATACGTTCATAGATGAAATCAGGTAGAAATAGCTCTCTGAGGTAACAATGGCAGGTTACCACTTTTTAGTCAACACACTTCTTACATAATATTTCTGTATTTTTGATCACTGACTTTAGATTGCTTCTAAAATGTGAAAACTAAAAATAAGATAAGTGTGTGCAAACCTTTGAGTGGTGTAGCTACACTTAAAGGAATAGTGTAAAAGTGCTGGACACAGCCGTTCTCGTGAGCATCACAACAGCATTTGATCAAATGAAATACTGACATGTTTCTATCCCAAACCAGCTGCTGACTCCTTCAGCCACAAAGCTTTCTTCGCCAAGGTTGGCCTGTCCGCCAAGTCCTCTGATGACGTCAAGAAGGCTTTCGGCATCATTGACCAGGACAACAGCGGCTTCATTGAGGAGGATGAGCTGAAGTGAGAATCATAAGAAATCATTGTAAAACAGCGGCGGTCGCAGGGTTAATAACAGGCCTGTGCTCTTCCTGTAGGCTGTTCCTGCAGAACTTCAAGGACGGTGCCAGGGCTCTGACCGACAAAGAGACCAAGGCCTTCCTGTCTGCTGGTGACAGTGATGGTGATGGCAAGATTGGAGCTGAAGGTACATGAAAAATGCCATTTTGACACCATTTAACATCTCAGATGAGATCTAAAAAGAAAGTGAGGAGAGGAAGTCCGAGTGCTTTTTAGGCTTGGTAGTGGAGGGAGAAAGCTTGGATATAAACCCTAGAAGTTGGGAAAAGCCTACAGTATATGACAGAGGAAATCGAAGGAAAATGGTCTGACATTGTTTGTGATATCACAACATCAACAGTAAGGTTTATTTCTGCTTGTTTGGTCAGGCCAGTCGTTCTACTCGCTCTGCCAGCATTTATATTTATACAATTTGTAACTGTAGATATACATATTTTTTTACATATATATTTGAATATTTACTCAAATATAGATTTATTCCACACGTGTATTTATTCCGTTTCTTTACAAAGAAAATTTGCAATAATATTTTCAACCCAGGTGAAACATTTATTTTTTTTTTTACATTTGTAGATAGAAATTTTCACATACATGTTTTAATATTTACTTACATGTATATTTATTTATGTGCAAATTTAAAAAATAATAAAATGAAACGTTTAAAACTTTTTTTTTTTCAATTGTATAGGTATTTTTTACATATATATTTAATTTGTACTTATATGACAAATTACTATACATTTTCCACACATTTTCTAATATTTTTCAATCCATTCTTACGGCCAAGTGAAACATTTTTTAAAACGTGAATTTCTAATTGTAGATGCAATTTTTAGATGTTTTAATATCTACTTAAATATATATTTATTAATGTGCACATTTTTTAAATAACATTTATTATTATACATATATTTTTTCATCCAATTGAAAGTTCTTTGCACAGAAAATGTGCAATAACATTTGAAGTGAAACATTTTTCAAAATGTAAATACATATAAATGTATTCATTTTTTCATCCAATTTTAAGTTTTCCAAACATATAAATATTCCCCCCCCCATCAAATTTGAGGCTTTCTTTACAATGAATATTTGCAATAACATGTTCAACCTGTGAAACATTTTTTTTAATTAATTTCCATTTCTATACGTAATTTTTACATATACATGTAATATTTACTTTTATTCATATGCATATTTTATATTTATTATTCATAATATTATTCATTATATGATTCTAATTTCAAGGACATTTTTGTTAACCCATTTGTACGGATATTAAGACTATAACAAGTCATTCTTGCGATTTTAACGACATCTACGATAGTCCGTTAGATGATTTTACCTAGCTAACAAGCTGAGAAAAAGAATTCACAACCAAATATTACAAAAAGAACAAAAATCACATGTAATGCAGGGCAAGTGACAGCGCCATTAACCGAGCAGAAACTCTCTCAGGCCAGCAGGCCATTCTTATCATTGAGCTCTGCCACTGTCACTGTCTGTTTACTTGGCAGCATCCACTGAAGCTCCACTGTAGTGTAGGACGACGAGCAGTAGTGCAGTTTACCAACACTTAACAGTCCCCTGGCGAGATTTGGAAATGAAATTGGTGATATTTGCAGAATTGCCTAACGCTAGTCTCATCTCTGTCTTATCTCACAGAGTTTGCTGCTCTTGTAAAGGCTTAAATTTTCATCCGACCAAGACCCTTCAAATATCAAGGAACCAGAACTCACGACAGCTCACATCTTTCTCAGCCGAACTTTTTTTATATGATCTTATTTATGACTGACTTTGGACAGTTGACTCAGTTTTGAGTACAGTGTCTGGATGAGGGTTCTGTTTGTGTTAGTTGGATGTTGTATTTCAAGCCCACTGGCTTGTGCACATGTACAATCTTGAATGCACTTCTGGGGAAGAGTGAAAAACGAGGAATAAATGTAGTTTTGGTGTACCGTGTCTTTGAAGCTGAATCTTTTGGGTTTGTGTCGTTCCCGCTCCGCCGCCGGATATCCTCCCAGGCAGCTCTCATGATAATAATGCACTCTTGGCACGAGGCTGGCCGAGGGAAGGCCCGGAGATATGCTGAGATGCACTGGAAGGGATTTGCAGCGGATAGTTTTCACATGCCCAATTAAGAGTCCGTGGCAGCTACTTTAATGCTCAGAATAGCTCATCGAACACTCAAACAAAGCACCAGCCAAAGCTCAGTCTTCCAAAACCCATTAAACGCCCTGCAACGGGCACGACTTCATTAGAGCAACTGGCAATGCTCTTGCAATAATGTGCTGTTAACCACAATGGTGAATCAAACTGCTGACATTCTTAATTAGATCTTTAAATCCTTTAGCTTTTAGACAACTTATATAATTATCCTTCATTCTAATTTAGAGTGACCATTTGTGACCAGGATTTCAAAATTGCCTAAAATTGCCAAAATGTTTCCCTCTACAGTCCCCAATACATTATATGTACGCGTATTTGCATTGCTTTGACCGTTCTCTGTAGATCCCGCCTTCTTGCACACGATTGGTCGCTCATGTACAATACCTGCGCGCTATTGGTCAAACTGCTTGTCAGTCATTTTTCCATCAGAAAGAACGAAAACAACAGGAAAACAAAGCCGAAACCCGGACGCTTTAGGCTATTTAGAAATGATAAAAAGAGTATGTGTCTAACATAAAACAAGTTTTAGTGAAACAGTTCATCTTTCGACGGTGTAGAACAAGTAGAAGAGTTTCCGACTGTAAAACCAGCCATAGCTGGATGAACTCTGCTGCTCTCTGCTGTTTGAAGGTTGTATGCAACTGTCAAGAGTGAATTGATAGTAGTAACACTTCATAATATACTGTGCACATTCACAAAAATAGCTTAAGAGAGGCGAATATGCTCCTTTTTGATAAGTTCAATGGGAAAAGGTTCAAGCAAATATTCATTTAGCATGAATATTAACATGATATTCGTCATCATACATTCAAGTAATGAACATATAATGCTCATAAATGAAGAATGGAGTTAAGTAAAACTGATTTTTTTGAATGACCTTTTTTCATACAGAAAACAGCATTAAGAGAAAACCAGAACATTTTTAATGTGGTAAAATCTAAGACAGCAAGCACAAACAAAAATCTCATGCAAACTATCAATATTGTAACTAAATGAACAAACGAAGCATTTTACATGACAATATAACCAGTAATATAAGCAAACACAACCGGAGAGTCCATACCCAGAGCACAAACAGAAATCTCCCACTGAAAATTGTCCCGAATGTCTCCCTTCATATAACCCGGTGAGCAAGTGTCCATAGGAATATGTCCATGCACTATCAGCAGCGTGTATTATTAGCATGCGAGTATATGATGGACTTTTTTTTTCAAACGCACCTTTTAAGCATCTTCATTTCTGAAGATAAATATAGTACAGTTTGTGTGCTGGGCGCATGTCAACTGGCCCCTCGGCCGACGGGTGTCTATTACATTATGATTCATATTTGGAGTCGCTGAAGGTATATAAGGGGGAGATCAGGGGCCCGGAGATCGCTGCAGTTCACAGCTCGAGTCTTCTGAAACTACCTTCAGCACCAAGAGGTGAGTTTGCACGAGGGACCCAGTCTATCTCTGAAGAAACAAACAAAAAATAATAACTGGACCCAATTGCTTTCGGAGCAGTCAATAATGGAAATTAAAAGCTTTTGCATCCTAAATGTTCTCTTCATTTCATTCTCTGGTTTCTTTTAAGAGGACCTCGTGGTCACACACACACCGGACTCTTTGGGATTTAACATCCTCGTAACTCATATCCACATTTGGCACGTTTCCCTTTTCGCAGTTTTTATGGGATTTGCATGGTTGATGGCATGAAACAAATGAAATGCTATTAGATTAAACCTTGCCAGGTATTATTACATTTGGAGGAGACAAACTGGACTAAATGCATATGAGCTTTTGGAGATCAATCAATGAGAGTTGTGTGTAGTATTTCCTGTTTTAATATCCATTTAGCTAAAGATGGCCTTCGCCGGAGTCCTGAACGACGCTGACATCTCTGCAGCACTGGAGGCATGCAAGGGTGAGAGAAAACTCAAGCAGACCGAACTTTAACACACCGTCCTCTATTAAAGCGTGCACTCTTAAAAATAAGAGATGCCATAGAAGAACCATTCGGTCAAAGGTTCTTTAAAGAACCATCTCTTTCTTACCTTTTTATAATCTGAAGAAGCTTTTGTGAAAGATGTTAAAGGTTCTTTATGGAACCATTTAGACAAAAAAGTTTCTTTTATGGGATCGTGAAGCACCGTTATTACTGTATTTCCCACACAGCTGCTGACTCCTTCAAGCACAAGGCTTTCTTCGCCCAGGTCGGTCTGACCAGCAAGTCTGCTGATGATGTGAAGAAGGCTTTCGCAATCATTGATCAGGACAAGAGTGGCTTCATTGAGGAGGATGAACTGAAGTAAGAACAAACAAATCCTTTTTGCAATACTAAAACTGGACTGATTCGGCTTTTAAACACCATAAATGAAATGTGTTCTCAAACTCGCGTTTGCAGACTGTTCCTGCAGAACTTCAAGGCTGATGCCAGGGCACTGACTGATGGCGAGACCAAGACTTTCCTGAAGGCTGGAGATTCTGATGGTGACGGCAAGATCGGAGTTGATGGTCAGTCACTTCACTCATCTGCCTTGAACATATAACAAATGCACCTCACTATGCTTCCCATGCACTTTAAGAAAATCAAATGCATACTATTTTGATTAAAAAGCAGATTTTAACATGTTGATTGTTTCTTTCTGACAGAGTTCGCTGCCTTGGTTAAGGCATAAATTGCTTCTGACCAACAACACCTCTTGCTCTGAAGGAACAACTTTGCCCAAGACCTCCCATTTTCATCTTACTATAAATAATTGTTATACTCATGATGCTTATGAGAAGTTTCCTCCAATGCAGCACACTGTCAAAACGATGACTGTGAATGTAGCGGTTGTGTCTCCTGTCTTAAATATGAATTTTGCTTACTGTAAAATCTGATGCACTTTTAAGGGAACGGACGATACAAAAAGAATAAATATTTTTCAATATAGACCTCTTTTCATTTCTTCTTGTAAATCTGCTTTTTCACTCCAGCTGTATGCAGAAAGTTTATAACCACATTTCCATTTCAGTAAAATAAAATGAAATAAAAACTATTTGGTGGATTATTTGGGATCATGCTTATTATAATAACTGTATTATAATTTTGTTTGGTGGATAACTGTTTGTTTAGTGTTACTGCAAATGTGAAATACCTTGACTCACATCTATATTCACAAACATTATAATTACTCACTTACAAGCCAAAGCCTATCTGTTCAAATAAAATAATTTAATTTCATCAATTTAAAATAGCTGTTTTCTATTTTTTAAAGAAATGTACACTTTTATTCAGCAAGGATGTATTAAATTGATCGAAAAAATGATAGTAGAGACATTTATAATAAACTATTAAGAAACTATTACAAAGATTATAATTACTCGCCAACAAGCCAATATTCATCTGTTCAAATACACAAACAAACAATCTCTTCCACAAGATGGCGTTACTCTACAATGACTGAATGGATAGTAAAAGTAGATATTTGGAATAATAAGTGTGTACGCCCAAGATAATAATTGTAGAAAATTATATCGCACATTTTTACTTACTTTTTAAAATTTTAAAATGGCTTTTAGCATCTACACTGAAAACGGCAGCACACTTAAAGGGACAACTTTGTACCACATGTACCCCTAAAAGGTGCATATTAGTACTTTAGAGTAGTAATATGTATCTTTAAGCTACTACTATAAACCTTTTAGGGATACAATGATGTCCCTTAAAGCCAAGGGTACTGCTGTTGTACTTGTTTTTCCTGCTAAAATAGCATGCTAGGCTAGTTAGCCTCTGACACACTAAAAGTAGCTGAGGCCTGCCAAAAGAGACACCTTAGTAGAGGTCAATGTAGTGTAACTTAGTGCTTGCAGAGAATATAAGCAACCGTAAATGAATAAATGATTGCTCAGTAACCGTATAGGATATGAGGTATCATCATGGCCCATGACATCAGTGTTGCAGGGTAAGTAGCACCTCTGTATCCGGTGTCCTTGTCAGCCTCAGGCTCTTGGGTTTCTCTCTGTGCAGCATAACGCTGGGTTATCCCACGCATGGAGTGTCCCAAAGCATGTCACAGCAAACACCTCGTCCTAATGAATTTAAATGTGCCATGTGCGCCCTGCAACTCAATAGGCACGCGAGCATGCATTAACGCAGTCTTTTGTGATGCACTCAAACATGACTAAGTCAATGTAAATGCTTATAGAAGTTGATTCTAGCAGGTGCGCCGACTTGACGTACTTGCTATAATAATGACAGATGCATTACTAAAACGAATGTAAAATCCTCACATAAAATGTACCATTTACTGATTAACATGATGTAAAAGCACAGCTGATATGAAATACGCGATCTTTAAAAGTTTGGTGTCTGTAAGAAGTAAAAACAAAACAAAACAATACTTTTATTTAGCAAAAATGATCGAAAATGATCATTGATGATTACTCACCAACAAGCCAATATTTACCCTTGTTCAAATAAACAAAAAAATTAGTGCTGTCAAACGGTTAATCGCGATTAATCGCATCCAAAATAAAAGTTTTTGTTTACATAATATTATGTACGTATACTGTGTATATTTATTATGTATATATAAATACAAACACATGCATGTAAATATTTAAGAAAAACATTATTTTTCTATATTAAATATATTTATATATAATATAAAATATAAGAATATAAACATATAAATGTATATACATGTAAATATTTTCAAAATATATACTGTATGTGTGTGTATTTATATATACATAATAAATATACACAGTACATATATTATGTAAACAAAAACTTTTATTTTGGATGAGATTAATCGCGATTAATCGTTTGACAGTGCTAAAATAAATACATAAATATTGAAATAAGCCTTTTATGCTTACCAAGAAAGCATTTATTTGATCAAAGTAAAAACAGTAATATTGTGAAATATTATTACTATATTAAATAACTGTTTTCTATTTAAATGTTTTAAAATGTACTTTATTCCTGTGATGCAAAGCTGAATTTTCAGCATCAGTGTCACGTGATCCTTCAGAAATCATTCTAATATGCTGATTTGCCGCACAACAACCATTTCTTATTATCAATGTTGAAAAGAGTTGTGCTGCTTCATATTTTTGTTGAAATCGTGATACATTTTTTCAAGATTCTTTGATGAATAGAAATATTTTGTAACATTATAAAAGTATTTAATGTCATTTTGATCAATTTAATGCATCACTACTAAATACAAGTAGTCTACTGATTTATTAAAAAAAAAAACTTTGCCAGTTACAGTATTATGCATGCATTAATCAGAGAAACTGAATAGTTTTACTTAAGAAAAACATCTTGATTAAAAAGTTAATGCACATGATGCAAATGTGCAAGCTGTCATTAAAACATCCATGCAGTGACACCTAAACCAATACTGTTTATTCATATTTTTCTGTTTATAGCCTTTAAAGCATGAGATAATATAACTAGAAAAGTCAAATCAATATCTGTGTCAACATATTAGACACTTGAAGAAAAACTGTCAGTGTATCTGTTACACACGTATGAAGGATGCGCTGTCTGTAACCCCATCGCACCGATGGAAACAACACCTCAAATTAATTGTAACATGGGATTTGGTGAGTTAGGCATTGTCTGTTTTTTTTTTATTTTCCTGCACTTGAAACCATAAAGTACTGACATATTGCACACTCTTACATAATATATGCATCTAGCAGGTGCATTTTAAACATTGATTACAGTGTGCTATTGGGCACCAGTCAAAAGGTGACCTTGTATCCCTGAATCAGCAGAAGAAAAATGACAGCTCGCTGTTTGTCTGCCTATGGAGGGTGAAATGAGAAGGATAAACTCTCTATAACAACACAGACTGTCCACAGCTATATCTATGAATTAGTTTTGCATCTGGCGACCAGTGGATTACGGGGTCCCATCTGTTCATAAAGACAATATGGAGAAAATTACAAAGTCAGAAATCAAAAATCTAAAATCCAGTGCAGATTATGGGATTTATAAGAAGCAATAAATTCAAGCAAACACAAGGAAAGGTGGTTTTCTAGCATCCCAATAGAAATGCAATATAAAAGCGTTTATATAATATTCTAACGAGGGATTTAGAATGACCTTATGTAAAGCAGAAGGGAAAGAGGGAGGGACAGACTGACCAACCTGAGAGGAGGATGGATGTACGTGAGAGAGGTGAACGAGTGTGAGGGCTTTTGTGATGTGTGTATTATGATATAGGATGGGAGGGACATGACAGCAAAGCATTTATTACTTAATTTGCCTTTTACAAGGGCGTCACAGATTTCTAAGGGCTGGCCCATACACACACACACACACACACACACACACACACACACACAAGTCAAACAGATATAAATAGTACAGGTTAATTAGTTAGGCAAGTAATTTGAGCCAGGGCCTGGCAGTTAGAATTTGATCCACAGACAGGTAACTCAAGAATCACCCATTGTCACTGCCTTCAGATCTATATAAATCGCACCTGGACAGACTCGCAGTCACCACTCAGCCTTACTTCTGTTGACTCGCCTGCCGGGAGAACTTCACTGAGGTAAGTGCCTGCGAACCAGCGAATCTCTTTTTGTGTTTAGCAGCATATTGCGTACTGCTTTAGCTCAGTTTTTATGAGAATTATCCTCAAATTGCATGCATACAATAACAAAAAATGCACCAAAGCTGCATGTATATGAATCCTTTTCATAAAAATAGCATTCAAATACATGCATATACACGTTTTTATACTGAAAAGTGCATTGAAAAAGCATGCATATGAAAGTTTTATTTGATAAAAAGGCATTAGAATATATATATTTATATTATATTTATTGTATTATATTATATATGGCTGCTGCTTGTGAAAATCAATGAATTATTTAAAACCGTTCTTCTTTTTCTTCTCCAGGACCATGTCACTCTCATCTGTCCTTTCCGCTGATGCCATCGACAGTGCACTCAAGGACTGTCAAGGTAGGAGACATGACCGTGATCATAACATGATCATGAGGTAAGGATGCTGGACATAGTAGACAGGTGCTTTGAAAGAGGTGTAACGGAGGCGACTTATGTGAAGGTTGAGCGTCCCTCACTGAAAAGAGGAGGGGGTTTAAGACGTCATCATCTGTCCCGACGCATATAATGCTGTTTCAGAAACTATGCCACGGCGCTGTATGGAGAGAACAAGGGGCTTCCCTGCAAGATGAGGATGGAGACCACTGGAATACCATCAGATCTGACAAGCATACTATGTGGACAACTTGGTAGTCATGTGACTTCTACATGTTCGCAGGTCATGTGACTTACGTGTATGTTTTTACGACTGAAGATGGTGTTTGGAAGAACACCGAAACGTCTTGTCGTTTGTTTTGATGTAGTCCAGTGGTTTTAAATCAAGAGGGTAGGAGACAGCAGCATGTTTGTGGCTTATCGGCAAATTAGGAATCGAAGCTGTTAATGCATTTATTTCTTAAGTTTTTGTGAACGTCTGACTTCAGCTGCTCCTTAAATTTCAGTGTCAGGTTTCACAGTCACTTACCCTGTTTTTAATTGCTTATGTAATTGGTCTTCTTCCAGCTCCTGACTCCTTCAACCCCAAAAAGTTCTTCCAGCTGTGTGGTCTGACAAAGAAAAGTCCTCAGGAAGTGAAGAATGTCTTTAACGTCTTGGACAACGATGCCAGCGGATTCATCGAGGAGGACGAACTCAAGTAGGAACTTTCACACAAGTCTACATGCATTTAAAGCCACATGAAAGAGCAGATAATTGACAGGATCAATGCAAGATCAACAGATTTCAGCCTTTTGTCTTACTGGGCTGGCTTTCCAAGCACATGAATTATTAAGTATTCAAAAACAGACAGGGATTACCTAGTCTGTTTCTATGCATTCGGCTGCGGCCTTTTAATTAAGAAAGACACTTTATCCTCCTGCTTTGAATACATCCTGTCTCTGTCTGCGTACTGATATTTGAAGCATTTCCTTCTCGGACAGGAGGACTGTCTGATGTGGGACACGAGATAATGCTCTTTCTGATGTGGTTCCAGGTTTTTCTTGCAGCGGTTCTCACCTGGAGCTCGTGTACTGACCGATAAAGAGACAAAGGGTTTCCTGTTGGCAGCTGACGATGACAGCGATGGCAAGATTGGAGTAGATGGTAATCATGGCTTTTATATAATATTTCCATAATTCATAATTAACACACAGTTGATCCAGACAGTTTTGTGATTGTTTCCATTTGATCTCTATTCATACGAACACAAGCGCACGAGCTGTTAACTCACATCCATGTAAAGTTAGACGCAATTTAAATATCCATATCATGCTTACATTATATTGTCATATATAAAAAGGAACTGCGGTATGTGATTGCAAGTCGTTTATTTGAGCAGCTCACGTGAATGAATTGTGTCTCTGATCTCTTGCAGAATTCCAGGCGATGGTTCTGTCCTGAATGTTCAGTACACATCTCTCCCCTCTCTTGTACTCAGATTTCAATTCAGCAGTCCCGCCACTCGATACACAGGTGTTTTTCCTCCTGGGGACCCCCTGGTCAATAGAGTCCACACAAGGCAGACACATACTGTACACACTGCAGTTTTTATTTGATTTTTGAATAATGTAGAGGGGGCGCACATGGGCACTGACCAAACGTAAAACTACCTGAAAATTATTATTGACGTGAATAAATAAATGGCTCAAAAGATTTCCAAATGTTGTCTGTGTTATTTTCATTCTGGTGGTAAAATATTGAAGAGGTGAACACAGGACCTGAAATACAGGAGCACTTCATGGAACACATGAAAGAAAGAGATTTGATGAATAAAAACTTCACAGTAGCGGACTTTGTGTAGATAAACATGATCAAATCAAAAGTGTCCGCTAAAATGATAGAAAAACATAAAAAAATGACATGAAATTTAAATGTGACACAAAATTCTATGCAAAACTACTCATACACAGAGAATCAATGACATTTCTGATTGCAAGATCCAAATGTGCATAAGAATATGTAAGATTACAATAAAATTGTATATTAATAAAATTATTAATCAAGAACAAACAAGTCTTACATTTAATAAATAAATAAATGTAATAATAATAATGCTATTATAATTACATATTTTGTATTAATTTTATCTTATATATTAATAATAAATGAACTAAAACAATTAATTAATCACTGCTGAAGTCAGAAATTTTGTAGTAAAATGATATGCCCACAAAATGAATCCCATTATAAAAGCTTGGAGCTTTACATTGATAATATCGTGTTTACCTTATAACGTGCGTCATTCAATATGAACAAACAATGCGCAAAGACAATGCGTGAGCAAATATTATTAGGAGAACTATGGCTGCTGTCAATCATCAGTTAGCACGCACAGATTTTCCATAAATCTAACCAGTTTACTTAACATACATTACATTGAACATCTTCCGATTTCCACTTTCTCCTTTAAACATGCATGTACTAATGTATGATAGCAATATATAAAGCTACAGTGGTATTGGTTTGTGCTGCATCCTATGAAAAAATGAACTGGCATTTCACCTTGAAGCTGATGGAGTATTTGGGGTGATGTGGCATAGTGGTTAAACTTTCAAGGAACTGACCCTTAATTGCTGCAAGTTGCTAGTTTAAAAGCGTCTGCTACACGACCGTTTAACAATTGTGGGCTTCTAACCCATGTTTAGTTCGTTATGGTCATCCTTCATGTTGCTATCAATCGTTGGGGGAGATTTCTCGCACCACGTTCAACCTACTGTAATTCAGCCTCTCTGTATGGATGCATTTTCAACACAAATGCATGTTTTCCAAACAGTCAGCTCACTGTAGATTTTAATAGCTGAGAATTACACAACAGGACCTAGAATTAGAGCGAGCATGTTGACCACTAGACACCACACCCTGACATTAGCAGCCTGTGTATGAGTGCAATTCTGCTTCACGTGCACTGTAAAATATTGCCAGGATTGTAACAGTTACAGTAACGGAAGTTTCTTACATTAAAATACCGTACTAAATTTAGCTGTACGCTTGGTCGTTTTTGTCTTAACTCAACTCAAGTGGTGTTTAAGAAAGAAAATGACATTGTCTCCAGAGATTTCACAGTAAAATGCAGAGGATAGTGTTTTACTGTATAAGAACTATTTGGTAAATTGTCAATATTTTGTACTGTAAACCTATGGCCCAATGTACCATGTTAATATGAAGGAATTGTGTTTTCGTGTTGAAGGAAATGGAAAATAGTGCTGGTAGTTTTCCGCCAGGACATTATCTGTTTTTCTATTGATTTATTTTCTAACAACATAACTGATTAAAGACAATAAGTTGTTTCTAATATTAAATATTGTGGTGAGAGACAACATCATTAATAACATTGCATTGTGAATCTCAATATCATGCACCTTATACCACTAAGATGTGGGATATCTCAGGAGATTTAATGAAAATGTACATCAGTTGTTCCAGTGCAGTTTAAAGGGACAGTTCAGTAACTTTCCACATCCCTCTTGTCATCTTCCTCCATGATAGCATAAACAAAGGCCATTTTTAAATTTTCATACCTTTTATATATGTACATTATAAATATGTTTTTGTATATACAATTATTAAAGGGGTCATATGATGCGATTTCAATTTTTCCTTTCTCTTTGGAGTGTTACAAGCTCTTGGTGCATAAAGAAGATCTGTAAAGTTGCAAAGACTAAAGTCTCAAATCCAAAGAGATATTCTTTATAAAAGTTAAGAGTCAGCCACGCCTACCTAAAACGGCTCGTTCTGACACACCCTCACATACCTACGTCACGATGTGGGAAGATTTGCATAACGCCGCCCAAATGTGCACGCAAAGAAAGAAGGCGTAACTTT